ACACTCTTCCCCACAGGACTGAGACATCTCTTCCAAAACCCTGATTTTAAAGATGAGGAAACAGAGACTCGAATTTATGTATAGCTAGAGAGTTAGAAAAGCTTTTAGAATCTCAAAGCTGGTCTCGAAGTTTCAGCCTGCCAATTAGTAGCGCCTCTTGGAGCATCGGGTTTTTCACCTGAAAAATTGATCGGATATTTACTTTAGAGTTGTTAGTGAAGATTAGATAAGATGCCATAAAACACATATATAGTGTATATATATTTATATATTATATACAGAACCTTTTGTGTGTGTATATACATATACACAAAGTATATATGTGTGTATATATATATACATATATACAGAAACATATATATATATATATATATATACACACACACACACACACACACACAGAGGACTATATATATGTGTGTGTGTGTGTATACACACACAGAACCTTTTGCGTAGTATATTAGTAATGGAAGCTTCCGTTATTAGGAAGTAATGTGGGATTGTGGGATACTGGTTATGTGCGCCTGACCTGAAGCCAGATTACCTCTGTCACAAAACCAGTCTCTACTTGCCCTCCATAAGACCATGACTCAAGGAAGATGATTTAAGCACTTACCTTGTCTGTTAAATGAAGATAATAATAGTACCCACCTGCTTACAGTGTAGTGAATGAATAGAAAAGTGGCATAACATAAATGTTCAATAACTGTTAGCCATTCTCAGATTCATGGCTCAACTAGGACTACAGCCCAGTTTTCTGGATTCCAGAACCAGTCATCTTTACTCTTTTTTATTTTTTTAATTTACTATAGGGTGTGTGTGCTCTTTGAAGAGAGACAGGAAGTGAGAGAGAGGAGAGAGAGAGAGAGAGAGAAATTGAGAAATCATTCCCCCCCTGGGGGGGAGGGGAGATAGCCATGCTGAAATCTCCATTGTTCTCTTGAAATTTTGGGCATGCACACAAATGTGCCAGGTGTGTTTTTCGAGCTGCTGGGTCCAGGACTCAAGTTGTGTTGTTGGCCATGTGAGATGTAGTCACCGTAACCACCACACCACCTGACTGGCCTTACCTTTATTCTGAACCACCCCTTCTGCATATTTAGACCAGGACTTCAACTTTAAGCTCCTTTTTGGAGGCTCAAGAGAGGAGGACCTTTTTGGAGGCTCTTGTCCTTTTATTTTTTTAAATCAAGATTTCACCCTGTCTACCTTATCATCACAAAAATCCTTAGAATGTTATGGCTCTGACCCCACCGAAGAGTCAGAAGCAGAAGCAGATATAAGGAAAATTGTCACATTCTACTCTCATGAATAGATTGAAGAGTAAAGACATTAGAGAAAGAATACTTAGGAAGTTACGGTGTAGCACTAAGTGCCCATTTGAAAAACATGGGAAATATTACCACCTAGGTATTGGTTCTGTGTCATTAGTTACCATTGTCAGTGACAGATCAGAAGTTGAGACCACATCCCAACACTGTAGAATACACTAGACTGTACTCATTGAAGGCAGGTATCTTGAACATTTTTATTACATCTTATCTAGCACAGGGGCAGTCACTTGGTGCTTGAATCAGGCAGGATACTTTGGGATAGACCCTTTAACAGTAGACTCTAAAACACCTGTTAATAATATGTCTGGCTTATTCATAGTAATCCAATGGAGAGGAATAAAACCTGAAATATGGGATTAGGTTAGTCTAACGATATAATGAAAGGAAAAGAAAAATGAGCACTAGCCTGGTGACTGAGACGATGGCATTCTGAACAATATCCTGTAAAGGAAAAAGAAAAGACAAAGACAGGGCAAACAATGACTAAAATAGCAAAGTGCAAAATTAGGAGATAGAATTGAAGAAAATATTTTGGAATGTCATAGGCACATACAACGGAGAACAGCAGCTCTTATAGTGATAAATATTGTTTCATGCTAGTAAAAAAGAAGTTGATAGATCTGGAAACATACTATCATCTGAGGGGCTATTAAAGAAATGTCACTTCGGCCAGCAGGTGGTGTGATGGTTAAGGTGCTGGATCCCACATTGCCAACTTCACTGTTCAAGTCCTGGACCCAGAGACTTGAAAAACACACGGAGCATGTGCCCACGTGTGCACAAAATCCCAAGAGGAAAATGGAGGAGTGGCGATCCCTTTGGGTGGAGGGTGATTTCTCACTTTCCCTTTCTCTATCTGTCTTTGGTGAGTATCACACCCTATGGCAAAAATTATTAAAAAAAAAAAAGAGAGGGAGAGAGGGAGAGAGAGAGGGGCCAGCAGGGGGTGTGGTGATTAAGATGCTGGACTCCCAAAAGCCAATCGCAGTTGGAGTCCTGGACCTCTTTTTCTCTTTCTCACTTTCTCTCCCTCTGTCTCTCTCTGGTGAGCACATGCGCCCTCTAGCAAATTAAAAAGGAATGATAATAATAAAATTAAATAATTATTTAAAAAAAAAAAAAAAGCGAGAGAGAGAGAGAGCGGGGCCAGCAGGTGGTGTGGTGATTAAGATGCTGGACTCCCAGAAGCCAATCGCAGTTGGAGTCCTGGACCTCTTGTTTACTTTCTCACTTTCTCTCCCTCTGTCTCTCTCTGGTGAGCACATGCGCCCTATAGCAAATTAAAAAGTAATGATAATAATAAAATTAAATAATTATTTAAAAAAAAAAAAAAAGAAATGTCACTTTACTTCTTTTGCTTACTTAGTAAGCAAAACCCAGAACTTGGGAGTTTAGTGCTGGTGAATCTCTTGCTAGGGGAAAGGACTACTGAGCGTAGCCACTACGTTGTACAAGGGAAAGAACGTAGGCTGTGGAGTCAGAATTGTATCCCACCCGTAGCTCTACTGCTTATCCCAAGTACCTCGTCCTGTGTTGATTACCTAACTCTAGGCCTGGCACCTTTGCTGGTGCATTTGCTGACACAGTAGTTGCTTAACAAGTATGAAAAGGGTGAACCTTTTTAAGAAGTGTCATTATAGTTAACAGTGTAAACAATGGGGCCAGTCTGCCTGGATTAAAGACCCAGCTCCACCCCTATTAGTTAATATCCTCCCCGAATTTACTTAGCCTCCATAGCACAGCTACCCCCTCTCTGAAGTGGAAGCAATAGTAGTTCATAACTCAAACCATTGCTGTGAGGATTAAACAAGCTTACGTTTATAAGCAGTCTGGCTTTTTAATACTGTTTCTTCCCTTCCTTTTCTAGGATCCCGCAGAACATCAACTGGCCAATTAGTTACGAAGGGAAGTTCTTCATCATGTCCAGAAGAGGAGATGAGGCAGAGTACTTACTCCCGAGAGATGGTAAGTAGTCAGAAAGGAGAAACTTCAGTGGTGAACTCTACTTGGGAATCAAGACTTACTGGTTTTAATAAGGCCTAGATCGTAGGTGGGCAAACTGTGACCCTTAGACCGAATTAACCCTCTGCCTGCTCTTATAGTTTGGCTGGAGCCCAGCCACCTTAAAAATCACATGCACTGTAATCTGTTTGTTTATTGTCTTTGGCTGCTTTTGTGCCACAGTGAAGGAGTTAGGTCCTCATGACAGAGACTGGATGGCTCTTGAAACAGAAAAATTTACTCTCTGGTCATTTGTAGAAAATGGCTACTACCTCTTCGGCTAGGCAATTCCCCAGAATGATATTTTACTGTATCCTCATTGCAGCAATTCCTCACCTTCATCAAATACTCTAATCCATTGCTTCTCAGTCTTTAATGAGGATCTGGTTAAGATGTAGATCCTAGGGGCCCCCAGGTGTTGGGGTGGTTAGGGGCACTGGACTCCCAAATGGCAGACCACAGTTTGAGTCCCAGACCTGGCTGCTTGCTTTCTCACTTTCCCTCTCCCTGTCTCTCACTTGATTGCCCTGTCCATCTCTGGTCAAATTAAAATAAGTAAATAAATAAATTAAATTAAATAGTTCTTTTTAAAAATGATGCAGATTCTGATTCAGTAAGTCTAGGGAGAAGTCTGACATTCTATCTCTCTAGAGTGTACTTGTACTGCTGATTCCTGAACTGACTTGATCTGATCAGTCTTATTATCAATTATTCCATCATTTTCCCCTCATAGTCAGCTTTTCTCCAGCTCATCATATTAAAACTCCATATAAACATCAACTCCCTTACCGTTCTTCCTCTCTGAAAGAAGGAAAACCTAGCTTGGCTGAACCCAACCTGTACCTTTTGCTCATCTGTACAAGTGCAGCTCTACATTGCAGGAGATAATGGGGTGACTCATAGATACTTTGAGTAGGATAAGAATCGCAGAGACAGAAGATCTTGGGCCTTTTTTCTAGAAGTTGATACATTATCCCCTTTTGTCTTTGAGTATCTATCCTCAAATTCTTAGTAGGAAGAATCTGAGTCCTGTCTGGGTCAGGTATTTACTCCTGTGGCCACAGTAGGTGGGCAAACTGTGACCCTTAGACCGAATTAACCCTCTGCCTGCTCTTATAGTTTGGCTGGAGCCCAGCCACCTTAAAAATCACATGCACTGTAATCTGTTTGTTTATTGTCTTTGGCTGCTTTTGTGCCACAGTGAAGGAGTTAGGTCCTCATGACAGAGACTGGATGGCTCTTGAAACAGAAAAATTTACTCTCTGGTCATTTGTAGAAAATGGCTACTACCTCTTCGGCTAGGCAATTCCCCAGAATGATATTTTACTGTATCCTCATTGCAGCAATTCCTCACCTTCATCAAATACTCTAATCCATTGCTTCTCAGTCTTTAATGAGGATCTGGTTAAGATGTAGATCCTAGGGGCCCCCAGGTGTTGGGGTGGTTAGGGGCACTGGACTCCCAAATGGCAGACCACAGTTTGAGTCCCAGACCTGGCTGCTTGCTTTCTCACTTTCCCTCTCCCTGTCTCTCACTTGATTGCCCTGTCCATCTCTGGTCAAATTAAAATAAGTAAATAAATAAATTAAATTAAATAGTTCTTTTTAAAAATGATGCAGATTCTGATTCAGTAAGTCTAGGGAGAAGTCTGACATTCTATCTCTCTAGAGTGTACTTGTACTGCTGATTCCTGAACTGACTTGATCTGATCAGTCTTATTATCAATTATTCCATCATTTTCCCCTCATAGTCAGCTTTTCTCCAGCTCATCATATTAAAACTCCATATAAACATCAACTCCCTTACCGTTCTTCCTCTCTGAAAGAAGGAAAACCTAGCTTGGCTGAACCCAACCTGTACCTTTTGCTCATCTGTACAAGTGCAGCTCTACATTGCAGGAGATAATGGGGTGACTCATAGATACTTTGAGTAGGATAAGAATCGCAGAGACAGAAGATCTTGGGCCTTTTTTCTAGAAGTTGATACATTATCCCCTTTTGTCTTTGAGTATCTATCCTCAAATTCTTAGTAGGAAGAATCTGAGTCCTGTCTGGGTCAGGTATTTACTCCTGTGGCCACAGGAATAGGGTTTGTAAACAGGATCAAACTAGAAAGGAGAGTGCAACAGATGAAAAGTCATAACTACGGAACATCTCCCATATTTTGTATCTGTACTCAACCAAAGTGACATATAATCTGACTACAGAGGCTTCAATAAATTGGAGTTTTTCTATGAGAAAAATAAGCCTGGAGGTAGGCAGTTGCTGGCATTGGTTCAACGGCTAAGCAGTATCTTCACAGCCTCTTTCCACTCCTCAGCCTGGCTTTTCATCTTCAAGCTTATTGCCTCCGGTTGGCAGATGGCTATCATACCTCCTGACATCGTGAATCATGACCCCATTCAAAAATGGGAACACTCAGGGTGCAGAGTTGGGGGGGAAGAGGCTGCAGAAAGACCTTTCATGTGAAAAGTTCTTTCTCCTTTTGGAAGGAAAGAGAAAGAAAAAATTTCCTTTCAGCAAAGGAAAAGCTTTCACAGAAGCCCTCCCCTCTACCCCACTGGCCTGAGCAAACAACCCTTATGTTGCATTGACTAGAAAGACATTGCATGACTGTTCTCTTAAGTGCCAAGGATGATGGGAAAGTTAGTGGCTGGTAAAGGAGAATGCAGTAGTTATGACTGGCTTAGACTAATCAAGATAGATTCCCTGGGTCTGGGCACATTGCTGTCCCCACACCGAATTTTGGGTTCTACTAGCAAGGAAGAAGAGGGTTTAGTTGTCGGTTGGGCAACAACACAGTGTTTGCCACATCTTCCCGATATCAAATCCACAGACCCCACGTGATTCTGTACCTGTTTCCTCTTTTTTCCCTCTATAACGACTAAGGCAAGTCCCTTTATCTGGGCTCTGAATTCTTTTTTCCCTCACCTCTTAAGGACTTAATCCCTTCACTTGACTATTCCCTTTCTTGTCTATATAACTAATCTTTGCCTGGATATAGAATCACACTCCAGACATACAGACGTGCTAGAAGAGTATCTTACGGAAGAGTCAAATGTTAATTGTAGAATTTAGTAATTTTTCTGGAAAATGCTTTCAACTTTTCTGTATGTTTAAAACTTTAATAAAGTCATGTTGGAAATAAAATCTTTTCCTTGACCCCACATCACCCTCCAAAATGCTTTCCTGTTTATTGTTCAAATTCATTGCAGAAGTTCCTTTCTCTATTTGGTGATCTCTGTTTTACCCTCAGTTTATGCCAGTCTGGCTTTCATTTTCACCACTCTTCTGAGATTGTTTTTTTTTTTTTTGAGAGATTTTTGCTATAGGGCATGTGCGTTCTCCAGAGAGACAAAGAGACAGGAAGTGAGAAATCATTCCCCTGGGGAATGGCCAGTCCACAATCCCTTCTCCTTCCTTCTCCTCTTGGGATTTTGAGCATATATGCACACACCCCTTTATGAGTTTCAGGCCTCCAGGTCCAGGACTTGAACCACAGTTGGCCATGTGAGAGTTCAACCCCTTAACCACTGTACCACCTGCTTGTCCTAAGATTGCTATTATGAAAATCGCCTTGGAATGAATAATTTTCTGTCCACCTCTTGCTCAACTCTCCAGCATCATCATTGGCTGTTGACCTCTGTCCCCTTTAAACGCTGTCCTCTCTTGTCATCTGACCCTACTCTCTTCTATCCTCCTCTCGACCTTTCTAGATATTCCTCTTCACTCCTCTGCAGCTGCTTCTCCATTATCTCACTCCTAAAAAATGAATTGTCCCACAAATTGGGTCTGAGACCTCTTATCTGTCTACAGCCAATTTCTTTCTTTATTCACAATAGAGAACCCGCACACATGAGAGTGGGAGGGCAGAGAGTAAAAGATGAGCACAGGGATGGCCACGCCATGATCCCTTTCCTCTAATCTTCCAACCCATTGGATCTCGGACACTTGTGTGAGTACCTGACATGTGTCAGGCTGACTCGACTGGGACTTTGAACTGTCATTGCCAAGTAGAATCTCGCTTCTCTTGAACAGTGTGCATTACCATGGCACCATGGAGCAGACCAAAGGTCAACTTTTTCCACAGAGAAATTCTTGGCATCTTGTGTAGACACTTTATCCTGCAGACTTTCCCATGCACTGTGGGATGTTTTATACTCCTAGACCCTACCATCTCACTTCGGGAAGGGTCCTCTTTGTTTCCCCAATTTGACAACCATGCTGCCTCCAAATAATCCCTAGAGAAGTGGTACTTCTCCATGTTAAGAACCATTTTGTCTCAGGTTAGCCCCTGGCCTCGTGGTTAAGCAAGTCAGATGCCACATGGCTGACTATGGGCTCCCTGGAATCCCAGCCCCTGTAGCTGGAAAGCTTCTGTGTCCAAAATCTCAACAGAGCAAAGAAAGGGAGAAGAAAGGATTACAGCATGACCATATTCCATTACAGGGCGCTTTCTCTCTCTCCCTCTCTTTGTTTGTCTCTGGGAAGCACATATGCTCTATGGCAATTACAATAAATAAATAATCACATAAATAAATACATAGATAACCGTTTTGTCTCTCATTTGGTGATGCCAGCCAGCCCATGACCTTAAATACCACATGTATGCTAATTCTCAATAGCTCTGGCCCAGACACCTCTGATGAAGTTTAGACTACCTCCCACTGCCTACATTTCTGTTTGGAAAGTCAATGCATGTTTAATGAATGAGTGATCTAATTACTTTAGACCCCTCTTGCCTAAAACTAAATTTTTTATCTTTTCCTGTCACTTGTTCCCTGTGGGAAACATAGTGACATCCTATTCAGATTCCCCCTTCAAGAATGGGGATGGGAACCAGCAGTTAGCGTAATGGCTATGTCGCTGGACTCCCACGTAGTCGACCGCGGTTCGTGTCCCGGACCCGGTGGCTTAAAACTCACGCCGGGCGCATGCGCATGCGTGCCCAAGATCCCGAGAGG